AGTTCTTGAAAGTCAACACTTTAAAACTAGAATTTATAAGTGAGTTCTTTTCATGGAGGTTTTTAATTTGGACCATATCTTGAGTTTTTGGACGAATTTTTAGCTCAAAATTTTCATGAATATAAATGATTATATTGTAAAGCTATGTATGAAATTTCATAATATTTGAGTTTTGGATTTTTGAGATATGTAGATTTAGTACACATGTATCTAAAAATTAGCATGTTTAGCATTTGCTAGAAATTAGGTAATATCTAAAGATCTATAATAAATCTACAATTGATTTATTTTGTGGATGTAGCTAAAGGTATTAATTAACTTGTAGAGAAGTTTGAATCCAATAAGAAAATTAGATTAAAAGTTATTAGGTAATATAGATTTGGAAGGAATCTCTATAAAAGTTGAAGTGATTTTAGAATATCTGGTCATATCTTAGAAATTTTTATGCATCTAAGATTCATATATTTAATGTAGTTATCTTCATAAAGATAAGCTATAAATAAGATTTATATTTTATAAATTTGTAACTTATTTGAATAATTAGTAGTAGTTAGATGCCTATTGCTTTCTGAAGGCAAACTCTTTCTACTACGATAATGCAAAATAAAATTTGTATAGAAATAAATGTTGTCTTTAAGACTTCAAAAGATGATTTTTTTTCTTCACTCCACTTAAGATTTTTTTTACATGTCAAATGTGTAAGAAGAGCCACAACTTAAAAAAAAATCTTAATGAAGATTTGATAATAATTGATAAATCTCAAAAAATATTGCACATCTTTGATTATTTTTGAAATCTTTTAATCTATAATAGTTTAGATCTTCTAAAGATCCATCCTAACACCATCATTTGAAATGATGTATCTTGAGTAGTATGAAATATACACTTTTCTATTTTGGCATATAATCCTACATCTCTAAGTTTTTGTAGCACACAACGAATATGAAGTTTATGCTCTTCTATATTTTTAGAGTAGATTAAAATATCATTTAGATAATAGATGATAAAATAATCAAGAAACTAAGAAAAGACATCATTCATTAGATGTTGAAATATAGCTAGTGCATTTGTGAATCCAAAAGGTATAATATTATATTTGAAATGCCTATATTTGGTTCAAAATATAGTTTTTTATTTATCTCTTTTTTTGATGCATATGAAGTTGTATAATCTTCATAGATCTATTTTTGTATAGATCTCTCTTTAATTAAGTTGATCAAGAAGTCTTAAAATCAAAGATACAAAATATTTATTTTTAATAGTGATCTTATTGAGTCTTTGATAGTCTACACATATTTGCAAAGATCCGTCTTTTTTATTTATAAATAAGATAGGAGCTCTTATTGGAGATTTAAAATGGTATATAGAATTTTTAATTAAATTCTTTTCAATTTATTTCTTGAGTGCAGCCCACTTATTTTGCAATAAAAAATAGAGTGGTCTGAATGGTGGTTGAGCTCTATCTTAAAGATCAATAGAACAGTCATAGAAAAAATATTTTAGAAGATTATTTATATTTTTTTTCTTAAAAATATTGTGATATCCTTAATATTGGCTTAGAATTATATTTGAAGTCTTTTCTCTATCAAAAATAGGTATAGCATAGATTGCAAAAATTGACCATTTTTTTATTGCATGCATGAAAGCTTTTATAGTTATCAATAAAGGTTTGGTTGTATTCGACTTATAGGGTTTCTACTTGACTAGCATGATCTTAAATTAAACTATAAAAAAAATCATGGTCACAAGAAGTTTAATTTATTTAAGGATTATATTTCATTAGGCACAATAATCTTATAATAATTAGGTTGGATGGAAATCCAATGACATTGGATATTACTAAGCTATTATAATCTTTAACTGCTACATCCAAAGGAATAATTTCATGGATAACATTTCTAGAAGATAATAAATAACCATCTATGATTTCTACATATACAAGTTTATTTTTCTTCATTAAAGATGTTTCTTATTTTTCAACAAAGACTTTGTCTATAAAATAGGCTAAGATTCCTAAATCTAACAAAGCAAAGACTTTGTAAATTTTTGGTCCTAAATAAGCTTCTATTATAAAACAAGGTGAAAGATCTCAAAAGTGAATAGGTCCTTTACTAGATGTTATGCAAGATTCCAATAATATAATTTTTATTGTACTTGAAGAAACTTATTTTTTGATACATTATCTTGTTTGGCAATTGTGCTCCTTATTTTGTGGTTACATTGCTTTTTTAGATAATATTGAGTAATGTGCTTAGGTTCTCTATAATATAATCATAAACCTTTTTAATGACATTAAATTTTTTCTTGCTTAGTAAGAGGTTTGAAAAATATTGTATTAATATGTATAAATTTTGGTCCTAATAAATAAGCTTTTGTGAACTAAGAGGCTATCACTATGGCTTAATTTGTACTTCTTTAGCCAAATCTTTATTCTTAGCATCTTTTAAAGAATCAATTGTCTCATGCATTGGCTTGAAGAATAAATTCTTTTAATGAACCTACTCTTTATATTGTCTACAACAAAGCTTCAATGTTATCTTTTAATTCATATCAAAATTTATTGATAAGGGCTTTGTCATTCCAATCTACATAGCAAGCAAGATTTTGAAATTTTATAATATATTTAGTAGCTAAATGTGATCCTTGTTGTAAAATTATAAGTTTGGTCTCTACTACCTTTTTTCAATCACTTTCTTTAAAATGGCTATGGACACTTTTAAGGATAAATTAAGATTATAGAAAAGACATTAACCATTTTCCATCAAAGATTCAAACCAAGAGAGAGCACTTCCAAAAAAAAGTGCACTTATGAATCAAATTTAAGTATATCCATCTAATTATTGAGAAGGATGCAATCTTAGATAGAGCTTAAATTATTGTAAAAATCCTCAAAATTTTGATCTTGTTTAATCAAACTTCTTCAACATACTTATCCTTGCCTCTCTTATATTTGAAATAGTAAGACTTTTTGGATTTAGTTGTGAGCTTGATCTACTTGCTTCTTTTAATTACATAACTTTTTAGTGTAGACTTTGAACTTTGTAGTTGACCTCTTCTATAGATGTTAGAATACTAACTCTATAATTGACATTAGAGATACATGAGATTTTCACCCTCAAAGTATTGACAAACTTGTGAAGATTTGTAACACTTGCAAATCTATTCTCAATTTGGCAAAGAATAGCATCTATAATTTTTTCTTTCATAAACAATTCAAAAAAATTCCAAAAACCAAATTAAAAGAGGATAATCTACAATCTTTAATATCAAATAAAAGTTTCTTCATAAAAAAAATAGTCTACTCTTTTTAAGAAAAACAATAATTCTTAAAAAATTAAAAGTAAGTTTTAAAGGTGGGTAGTTTGCAACCTTCAATATACAACAATAGAAGTGGAGGAATTCACTTACTTCTAATACAAGCATAGACAATAAGTTAGCACTTTTGTCAAACTATCAAGAACATGAATTTTAGAAAACTAAAAGATCAATCCACTCTTATGTCACCCGAAAAGACTATTGAATCACTCAAAGATGGTATAATATAAAATTAGAATGGTTATTACTAAAGATAAGAAGACTAAAAAGTCTTGAAAGAAGACAAAGGATTAGAAAGGCATTGACAAGAGTAAAGAAGGCTTCATTCTTACTTCCATATATACTATCCAACTAGGAGCTCTATAGCAACATCCTATAGGACTTCTAATATGTATCTTAACTTACAAGACAAGTTTCATATATATGCACTATATCATCAGCTTGTACCACAAATTATCCACATGTACAATACATGGCTAATTTGTTGGCCAAGTTTTTAACCTACCAATCAATTATAAACATGTATAAATTCAAATATGCATCTATGAAGCTTCTAAGAAGCTATGCTATAAGATAATATCAAATCTATCTACATTTATGTTCTACCTAGCACTTCTTATCAAGGTAAATATGTATATTAGTAATACTTTGTAAATATGTTGTTTTTACTTTCACTATCTTGTCATCCACTAAACATAGATTGGTTTTTACAAATAACATCTCACAACTTATTTCTATCTAGGTAAGAAAGTTTCACTAGTAGTTTATTTATTAGATACAAACTATTATTGTTTGCAATTCTTTTGATGCTTCTAAAAGTTCATGTCAAAACTTGTGTCTTAGCTTGTGTATTCTCATATGCTTCTGTAAAGATTTGAACTTATAAAAAACACACTTGCCTATGCACACAAAGTAAATATAACTATCTATAAAATTCTTATCTAATCAATTCTTAATTTTTTAATTTTTAACTTTGATTTAATATATCTTTTAATAAATAGTAACTTTTACACATATATTATCTTATCAATCTATTCTACATATATCCCATATATTATAGATGCTTAGGCATAGCTTGGATTGTATTTATTTATTTATTTTATTGAAACACAACTCTAATAATTACAAATCTTTATTCTTCCCTCAAGTAATCTATGTTGTAGATTTGCAATGTGAAGCATCATTTTTTTTGTTTTTGATTCTAAATTATTCATTTAATTTAGCACCATTTTATTGTTCATTTTAACTCAAATGAACTTTAAGTTATTTTATTTTTTATTAATAAATAAATACAAATGATTTTTTATTTTAGAAATAATTTTAATTTAATATATTTTTTGGATCTCAAATCACATACTTTGTACACATTCAAATAAAAAATATTTCCTTTTTTTTTTTTTTTTTATTAGTTTTCATAAATTTTTCTTTACATATAATACCATAACAATTGATACTTAATTACTTAAATTTAGTCATTCAGAGTAAAAAATAATTCAACTCAACACAGAATAGTTTTTTGTAAAGTAGATATGAAATTCAGAATCCAGTAGTTGGTTGAGTTAACAAGAAATTAAAGTCGGATTCAAATCTGAATCATAATTCGAAGTGTTTTATTCTAACTTCAAGATGCCCCACCCACACACACCGACAACTCGCCGGATTTCATGGAGGAGGACCTATAAAGCCACCGAATTGGGTCACCGAGCCGATCGCCCTTCGATTCTGAGTCGACATTCCCAACTCGGAAACAAACATTCGTGAGTTGGGGGATCGAAGATTTGATGGTGAGCATGACATGATCCGGTGTTCTAATTCATGCCGTGCCACCGCTTTTGCTTCTCCGGCTTCAAGCATTTCATCCCTCGGCAGGTTGAAACCCTCATCCAGATTGCGAAGGCGAGGGTACGAGCGTGCGATGTGGCATTGCTGAGGTTTCCACAGAGCGAATTCGCGATTTGTGGCTGAGGATGAGAGGTTTGAAGACTGGGCGATGGTGTTGTATGCGGTGATTGATGTTGAGATTAGGGTTTCATTGACCGTTTGATTGAGGTGGTGCCTGTAGCCATGGTGTTTGGGTTCTCATGGGGCGAAGTAGCGCTCATTCTCGGTGCCAGTGCAGCGCTGTTCGGTGGGTTGGAGTGCTCCTTTCCTTCTTCGCCCTTGCTCTGCTTCTTGATGGCGGTTTGTGTGGGAGTTTGAAAGTGGGTTTTTTAGGTTACGGATATTGAACACGTTACAGCTAGACGTGTTTGCATTTCAAACGGGCTGTCGTGGTGTTTCTGATGGTTTAGTGAATTGTTCCTTACAATCCGGGCCGTGAGCCAAACTTAATGGTTGATTGATGCAGGGCCTAAGGATATTGTTATAATTGGAAGAGCAGCAGGGCGGTTGACAGGGAAAGCTGTTGGTTACATCCAAAATGCCCGTGGTCACATCGCCCCCATTATGCACAAATCGGAGATCAATACAGTTCGTGGCTCTCCCTACTGGTTCTGGAATGGTCATTTTGAGTTTCGTTTTCTGTTGCACGGTTTGGGCACATTTGAATTTGGAGAAACAAGTCAGCTGCAGCATGGCTTAGCCAAGTTTATCTTACCCACCCTATGAATGCTGTATTCGTGAAACCTTGTGATTATGAGTTCCAGCTTCGAATGTCAATCTCCTGGTAGCATACGAAGCTAGATTTTTATTTTTATTTTTATTTTTGTGTGCATTGAAAATATTTCCTTCCCGCACAAGAGCTTGAATGTAAAATGTCTTCTTACAGGTTCATAAAGAGTTGCGTGAGACAATGGCACAGCTCGAAGCCATTCGTCATGAGATGAGGACAGGCATCTCTATAATGAGTCCCGGTCCCATGACTAGCCGAGTGCTGGATAGTGCTCTAGAATCATCCGGAAAGGGTACGCAACGTTTTGAATTCTTCTGCCTTGATTGAGTACTGAATAATGTTCATAAAACGATGTTTGCTGCGACTATGAGATGTTGGCTCCAACCTTTTTTAGGTGACCTAAGTATTTGCCTTCCTAGTAGTGCTTTTGGGAGGGGCAAGATTTTTTAGGGTGTACATACTTTCTGCTGAGATGGATGATGTGGGACCAGAGCACAGACCCAGTTTGGACCAACTTGCATCAGTTACTCATCCCATTTCTGGACCTACTAGGCAGGTTTCTCCCACTCAGGTCAGTCATCTTTTGAGACTCCATCATTATCTGAAAGCTTCTCTGCCGGTGTGCTTTGGCAGCCGGTTGGCAAGTAGCAGAAGTAGTCGAATTTATGTAACATAGCTGTTTAACGTTGTGGCTCAAATTGATCGTACACGTTGGCTCTGAGAAGTGATAATGATTGTTTTTTTTATTTCTTTCTCATTATCTAAATTATTCAAATTCCTATGAAATTGATATGTGCTTTTAGAATCAAGTTTTGTATAACTAGGTTCTGTTTGCAGATTGTCCTTCAGATGGAAAACTTGCAAGCAGCTTCTAAACAAGATAGGTCAACAGGAATCGTCACTCCTGCTTCAACTGTTTCGGCTTTCTCTTCTACTAAAGGAACCCCAGTCAATCTTGCATCCAGTATTCAAGCGCCATCCAAGCTCTCAGATGGCATAGTTGGGAAGACATCAGTTCAAGAGCTCGTGGTTTTGCCCATCTCAGCAGTCGAAGCAGGGCTTCTGCCTTCCAAACAAGGTAGTCACAAGTTAGAGAGAGTAGTACATCAGACTTTAGCATCGGCAATGTTATTAATCATTCCTTGTTATTACAATACTTTCCACAGGAGCATCCATTGTTCTTGTTTGTTCCATTATTTTAGAAACATTGATAACTAATTCTCGTCGCTGACCCTTTCTCATGTTTTCGAGGAGCTCTCATCAACATTAACTACTAATAGCTGAAGGACCGTGTTGAATGCAGAGCCAATATCTGGAGGTGCAGATATAGTGCTGGCATCAATTGTGGAGAGGAAAGTGGCTTTTCAGTCCAAATCGTTTCTCGAGCACGGTGAAATATAGTTATCTAAAAGCTTCTGGAGTTTGCAACCTTCATTGGTAGTGGATCTAATCCAGGTTATCGTTTTAGTCTCCTTTTTGTATCATATCCTCTGCACCAGCCTTCACAGCTGCTGAAGCTGACGAGGAACGTCAAGTTTGTATCAAATCTTTAATGAAGGTGGGAGCTACGCAGTTTATGTGGTCATTACCTTCCAGTCTTGGTCTTAGTGGTACCGAAAGTGAAAGTGGGCTAATGCTGCTCAGTCATTGCTGCGTGCTGGAAGACCATATGAATTAGAGGGAATTGTTCCAGTTCTAAGACTTAGACCAAGGTGCTGCAACATCAGCATATTCTCAGAGTTCAATTTCTTTCATTTTCAGCATCTGACAGAAGCAACGTGCGCCTCAAGCCGAAGCATGTCTAGGAGGATGTTGCTGTGGAACGTTTTCAAAGTTGATTCGAGCGCTGCAATTGTAACTACGCTCCGGCACTCACCAAATTCCGTCTGCTAGATTGTAAGTTAAAAATTTTATCTAATCGCATTAGATTGGAAAAAGAATTTAAAAAAAAAAAAAAAAAAAAAAAAAAAAAAAAAAAATTATTGAACTAGTTGAGCTTTAGGCTGCATTTTAAGAATACAAGGTGCTCTTTGTGATAATTGTGTCTCTGGCACTTGAAAACGACAATCACTTGACTTTTAGAGAAATATAACAGTTTTGAAAAGGATGTTTAATGTGCTAAGGTTCTGAATTTAGAGTCTGAAATATGATAGATCTACTCTTAAAATATCGACAAATTCGTCCAATCATTTTATGTGAAATTAAAAATATGCAATGATTGCATGTTTTTTTGTAACCCAAGTACAATTAGTAGTATAACCATCTCACTTATTACTATTATTTACAACAATTTTATAACTTCTCTCTATTAGAATCAATATATTAATGTTGATACACCTTTTTGTAAACATAATTTAATCTTAATTCCCAATTGAGACCCTTGGATGCAAGTCTAATCAATCTATTTGTCCACAAGTATGATTTAAATAACATTAATAATAAAGGTTGAATAATAATTACAGCATCTTTCAAATCTTAAGCATTCTCAAAATATTGAATAGGAGTATACAAAAAAAGTCATCTTTTTCTATACAATTTCCTCAGAGTTTCAATAATCCTAACTTTAGGTCTTTTATAAATATTAATAAAGTTCTAATTTTTTGTGTATTTTATTCTTTTATAATAACCATCTATTGTAGTTTTAAATTTTGTTAGATGTTTCATATATAATATCTTCTTATAAAAAATTCAAATTGCAAAGAAATTTTTAAATCATTTTGTATTCTTTATAATATTATTAAATGTTTTAGATATTAAAATAATATCTAAAAATTATCTTTTGTATTGTAAATCTTTTGTACAAATAATATCTAAATTTTTTTTGTAGTAATTGTATTTAAAACAAATAATATCTAAAGTTTTTTTGTATTGTACATCTTTTGTATTGTAAATCTTGTAGAAAAAAACTTCAACATTATTGTAAAATACTTATTTCTATCAAATGGTCAAAAAGCCTTTATTTATTACAATTGTAGGTTAAATTTTAATTTCAAAATAAATTGATATTTCTTGATTTATATAATTATTTATAATATTTTCATAACATGTTTTATATTTTTTTATATTTTAAAGTTATTATTGTTAGATGACCACCATAATAATTGTTAATTAATTCTTTGAAAATTATTCCATCTTAGATTTATTTACTTCAATATAGTATTTAAGTATTATTTATTTTATATTTTTATAAATTATTCTCTATTTTTTATTTTTTTTGTTTTGATACCTATATTCAAAATATGTAACATTAATATTTTTGCAAGGGCTATATATCTAATTTTTATAATTCATAAATATTATATTATTTAAAGACATAGATTCATGATAATTATGTATTAATTTATGCTAGATTGTAAATTAAAAAAAACATAAATACATGTGCAATTGGTCTATTTTAGATCAAATTTTACTTAAAAATGATTTGTCATTCTTGTATATTTAATATATCAAATTATTTATGTATATAATATATATATATATATATATTTTTTTAATTGCATACACTCAAATTTTAATAATATTAATAGAAAAAGCCTTCAAAGAATATAAATACAATATTCAAATTATATTTATCATTGCTTCTATTTAAAATTTATATTTTAAGTATTAGTCATACAATATGTATATATTGTCACAAGCATACATATCAATACTAATAATTCATAAGCAAAGAAGACTTAGGTAGAAATAACTAAAAGTAGATAATTTAATAATATTTTGTAGAGATGTTTCTTAGAAGCTTTATAGGTGCAATCTTAATTTTAGAAGTGTTTGTAGGTAATTGATAGGTTGAAAACTTGGCCAATAAGTTGGCACTGTGTTGTACATGTTGACCACTTGTTTTATAAATTGACCACATGTTGGGAACTTGTCTTGCAAATTAGATACATGTTTTGCAAGGTAGACATGTGTCAAATGACTTATAGAACATCACCACATAGCTTATTAGTGAGATAATATATATTGCGGCAAGAGTGAAGCCTTCTTCACTCTTATTAATGTCTTTTTTGTATTTAGCCTTGTTTCAAGAGTCTATAGTCTTTTTTTCTTTGATAATAGTCATTCCAATTTTAATATTATAATACAATAGCATATTAACTATTTGGTTGTTTTGTAATTCATGCCTTTGACAAATTGACAAGAATACACTTACAATATCAAAACTTTGTCTTTTCTTAATTAAGAGTAGATTATTTGTTTTTCTTCATAAGATACAAGTATATTAGAAGTTGTAGATTATTCACTTTTGAATTGATATTATTCTTAGAATCTTCTTATTTCTTATGTAATTTCTTCTATAAATCCCAAGTGATGTTAGATATCTTTTTTTATATTTTCTTATTATAATAAGACTTGTTGAGATAAGGAAGCAATAGCAAAATATAAGAGCAAATGAGAGAGTTAATGCTTGCAAAGCATCAACTTAATTCACCACCACAAAAAATAACAAGAGTAGCAATTCTTATATGATCTAAATTCATTCTAAGAAGTATTTATAGTCACATTTAAAGAAAATGATTGAAAAAGAATAGTGGAGAAAAAACTCTTATCTTTATGTTAAGGATTATAATTTGCTCCTATCTATGTTGTTAAATTCCAAAATATGACTAGAGATGTGAATTGGAACAATAAAATTTATATTAATTAATTTTAATATAAATTAAAAGATAATATCAAAGATTTTATTATTGATAATATTAAAAAAAAAAATAGAATAATTTATTATTCAAACCATTGTATGCAACCATTAAGTTTTTAAAACATGCTAACATCAAAGTTTTGATTAAAGAAGAATTTTTTTTTTTATTTTTAATAACTTATTTATCAAAACCAAAATATATGTAAATTGATACAATATGTTTTAAACCTCTAATTGACCAAGAAAAGACTTAATATTATCAAGAAGGATTATACTTATATTATAGAGAATCTAAGCATACCACTCAATAATGTCTAATAAAGCAATACAATTACAAAATAAGAAGAATCATTATTGAAGAAAACAAAGTGTCAAAATACAAGTTTGTTGAATTATAATAAAGGCCGAGCAAATAGAATCTTATACTATACCTAATAAAGGTCCTATTCTCTCCTTTAAACCTTCATCTTGTTTTATAATAGATGTTTATTTAGGACCTAAACATTACAAAGGCTTTGCTTTATTAGATTTAAGAGCCTCAACTTGTTTTTTAAATGAAGACTTTATTAAAAATTATAGAATAACTTTAGTAGAAAAAACTAACTTATTAATAAAGTAATAAGTAAAAATTCTAATACAACCAAACTTTTCTTTGTAGATGCAAGAATTTTCATGTATTGTAGAAAATAAATGTCACCTTTTGTTATTTATGCCACGCCCATTTTTAATAAAGAAAATACTTCAAGTAATATTTTGAGCCAATATTAAGATTATTAAGCTGTTTTTGAAATATATATATATATATATATATATATATATATGTGTATTCATTTGAAGTATCATTCTTATGATTGTTTAATTAATCTTTAAGAAAGAGCTCAACCACCATTCATATCTATAACTTATAACAAAATAAGTTAGATGCATTTAAGAAATATAGTGATTAAAATTTAGCTGAAAACTTCATATACTATTTAAGTTTTTTAATAGGAGCTTTTATCTTATTTATAAAGAAAAAAGATAGATTATTACTAATTTTTGTGAATTATTGAAAAATTAACAAGATTACTATCAAGAATAATTATCTTCTATCTTTGCTATTAAAACTTCATAATCAATTAAATCAAGTAAAGATTCATAAAAAAATAGATTTACAATGAATATAAAATTTGGTATACATAAAAGAAGTAGATGAATTGGAAGATTACATTTTTTACCAAATATAGATATTTCGAATATAATGTCATATCTTTTGGACTAAAAAGTATATTTGTTGCTTTCTAATATGTAATGAATAATTTTTTTGAGAGTTTTAGATAATTTTGTTGTTTATTATATAGAAAACATTTTAATTTACTCTAAGAACATTGAAGAGTATGACTTTTATGTATATCATGTATTACCAAAATTTAAAAATATAAGACTATATACCAATATAAAATAGTATATATTTCACACAACTTAAGTTGACTTTTTAGGATACATCACTTCAAATGAAGGTCTTATGATGGATTCTAAGAAAGTTTAAACTATTATAGATTGGAAGATTTTAAGAATAGAAAAAGATGTTTAATATTTTCTGAGATTTATTAATTAATATTAGATTTTTGTCACCAACTTTTTACAAGTTGGAGTCCCACTTACACATTTAACTTGTAAAGACAAACTTAAGTAGAATAAAGCAACTCAAACTATGTTTGAAGCTTTAAAGATAATTTTTACAAAAGCCTCAATATTGTATTGCATCAATTTTTCTAAGACATCTTGTATGGAAAAAAAATGCTTTGGACTTTGCATTGGATGCAATATTGTCATAAATAGAAGTAGATGACGAAATTCATCTAACAACCTTTTAATTGAGAAATTTTTTAATATTCAAGATCAATTATAAGATCCATGAGAAAAAACTTGCAATTATTGATTTCTATCAAGAATGCAACCATTATCTAAAAGATATTTCTAATCCAATTATTATTTATACAAATCATAAGATTATTGTATATTTTCAATTAGCACATATTTTAGGTCATTACTAAGTATGTTAGAATATGTCTTTGTAAAAATTTGAATTTAATATCACTTAATGGTCAATAAAATAATATTTTTTATATATTCTTTTTAGACATTTTCATCTTGCATAAAAAAGAACATACAATTTTTAATCAAAAACAAAAAAATTCTTCTAAAGACAAAGCAATTTTATCTTTGAATAATAAAATCAATGTTATTTGTTGATTCAAACTTTCTTAATCAAGCTCAATTTATTATTTCATGAGATTTTTTTTGTTTATAATATTAAAATAAATAGATTTTCTTTCATAATTTTTTATTCATATCATAGATTATTAAAGAGTATTATATTAAATAGAAAAGATTCAATTTGTATTAATATTTTGGAGAAGTTTTTTTTAAATATTAAAAATCAATATAAAACTATTTTTGATTTTTTATCTACAAATTCATGGACAAACAAAACAAGTGAAATAAGTTTTAGAGTAATATTTAAGATATACTATCAACTACCATAAAGGTGATTAGACAACTCATTTTTGATTGATAGAATTTACCTATAATAACATGGTACATACTTACATTCAACAATTATTTTTCTATGTTAATTATGATTATCATTTACAATTTGATACTTTTAACTT